GCATTTTTTGGATAACTTCACAATTCAAAGGGCCATGTGATTATCAGTGGCGCATTGGGCGCATATTCAGACGGTTCAAGGTTAACGCTCTATCGTGCGCGCATTAAAACTTCCGAATCAATTTCCGCAATTAGTTCCCATTCATCAAAGATGTGTGTGGCCTATTCATCAAAGATGTGTGTGGTCATGATAGACAACTCCTTTTCTGTGAACCAATTCTTCCGGCTCTTTCTGTATTGCTTCATTCAAACGGTCAATAGAATTGGAGGTTTGCCAGGTTGCAGCAGCTTTATACTAGGGATAAACTCTTTCAAAAATGGAAATCAAATCCTAACGATATGACTTTAAGATTACAATACAATAAATATAGAAATGGAACGAGTAAATATATATGTAGGGCTAAAAATAAATATCGCCAGGCAGAGATAAAAAAATGTAACAAGAACGTTAGAAAAATCTGGGACAAAATAAACACATGGGTAGGGAGGGAGAAAAGTAGCCTAGACGATATTATTTTAAAACACTTAGGTAGAATAGACAGCAAAGTTGACATATGCAATAACTTTTCGACTACCTTCACTCAAGAAATCTCAGAGATAAAATATGTATGTCGATATAAGTTGATGGATAGGTCTACTTATGTCGACAATAGCCAAGTGTCAATGAGATTTCAAAGAGCTTCTCCAGAAGATGTTTATAAAATTATCAATTCGCTAAGCTGTGAAAAATCTGCAGGTGTAGACAATATAAGGGTAAAGGAAATAAAGTATCTAAAGTCGCAAATAAGTCCTATATTAGCCTTATTTATTAATTTGTGTGTAGAAAAAGGAATATACCCTCAACAATTAAAAACTGCACTGATAAGGCCGATTTTTAAGCAAGGTGCACATACAGAATACTCAAACTATAGGCCAATAGCTATACTCTCAGTAATAAATAAAATTATGGAAAAGTATGTTGTAGGCCAAATAAGCACGTTTTTGGAGAAAAATAATATCTTAACAAATGCCCAACACGGTTTTAGGCGAGGTAGGAGTACGGCTACAGCTCTGGCACAATTCTCTAATGATATCAATGAATACCTAGACCTGCGGAAGCAGGTGGTGGTGATCTATATTGATTTCAAAAAAGCATTTGATACCTTGGAGCACCACCAGTTACTTCAAGCTATGCAGGAGTGTGGAATCGCGGGACCACTTAATACATGGCTCCGCGCATACCTCACAGATAGGACGCTAAAAACTGTTGTCGATGGAGTGGTAGGGGAGGCTAAAAATATCAGGTGTGGCGTGCCAACCGGATCGGTGTATGGCCCGGTAGGGTTTATTATGCATGTTAATAGCATGTGCAATGTGGTGCATAACTGTCATATGTATATGTATGCAGATGATACATGTCTGGTGTACGCTGATAACGATCTAAGTATAATAGAAAAAAAAATCCAAGACGATATCACAAATATTATAAAGTGGGCACATGATAACAGACTTGTTATAAACATAAACAAAACAAAATGTATGCATATACACTCACCCTATCACAAAAGTATTGGACGCTCGCCGCGCATTATAGGACATAGCTATGAATGTCTGCATAGCGAGTACGACGGCAGTGGATCGCGGTGTGAGTGTGCGGCTATAGAGGTGGTGGGAGAGTACAGGTACTTAGGATTAGTGATAGACACCAATTTTTCTTGGAAAGCGCACATTACTAAACTTTGTGATAAATTACGATCTGTCCTTGTAAAATTCCACCACCTCAGTGGCGTACTGGACAGGGCTACTTTGTTTGTTGTTTACTATGCGCTGGTGGACTCGCTGCTTTCCTATGGACTGGCATGTTATGGACGCACGTTTAAAACGTACTTGGATAAGATTAAAGCCTTGCAAACAAGATTTATGAAAAGGTTAGTAGACAACTATAAAACAAAATTACGGTGTAAAATAACCAACTATGAGGAATTGTTTGTTGAGTGTAAAATCCTGCCAGTGCATGAGAAGGTAGCGCTATTAGTAGCATTAGATCATTACTGCCACCAAGAGTACAAAGTCAGGGCTGTGCAACTAAGGCCTCGAGGTGCAAAATATTGTAGGACTTTTGAGGTGCCCATTTGCCATAATTATTATGGCCAAAGATGCAATAAATATTTAGTACCAACTATATATAACAGTTTACCTACAGACATAGAAAGTGCTTGTACTTCAAAACGGTCGTTTAAATACAAAGTAACAAAGTTTCTTCTAAATGTGATCAGTGAAAACATGACGGGAACCTAAAGTATAGTTATTATAACTACACTTTGGGTTCCTGTCATGTTTGTTATGTCATGTTACTTAAGTATCTTTGTTAACAATAACTAATCACTAGGTAATTTTAATTAATTTGATTAAATGATCGTTACTGTAATTTTGCATGTTATTTATTTTATTATTTTAAATTTTATTTTTATTTTTTTATTTTTGTAAAAAGGATATGATAATGTAATTGTTAAATTATAATAAAGAGTGTAATAACAATAGTTAAATTAATGTAATATGATAAAGTGGGAGCTACGTCTGCCAACAAACTGCTGTGCAGTTTGGCAGAAGTAATTGAATATTGTAATACGTTTTTAAATTTAAATAAACAATATTATTATTATTAAAAAAAAAAAAAAAAAAAAATCCTATCTAATCTTCGGCATAAACTTGTTCGCCCACAATCCAGGTTTTTTAAAGGTCACTAGCCTATAAACATGATCACTTGAGTTTGATATTCTTACATTTCACCTTTTTATCGTCTGTGATGTTTTATCTCAAAAATAATTCAATTTCGTTGATGGCAAAAATTGATAATTTTCCATCGATTTTGTTTGTGTAGCCTGCTCTTTGCAAACGATTCCAATCAAATGTAGCTGACCTCTAAATAACTGCGGAACTTTTTGGTTTGACCTTTTATTTTTATCTTATTCAACTTAATCTATAGCTACTACATTCTAAATTATAATCGCTAAGTAAAAACTTTTTCAATACGATCTAAGGTATTACACCCATACATTACAAAGTTTTATTATTTCATTCTGTAGATTACAAAACGAATTCCATTACTTAGTTTGCATTTCGTAGTTCAATTTCATTCGTATATTTCAGATAACACTTAACCATTGCAGATAAGAAGAAAGACATTTATTTGAGGCTTAACTGTAGGCGTTATATAACTTTACACATTTCACATAAATTACTAGAAAGTTCTTGAGCTGTTTTGTTTCCAAGTTAAGCCGTACTGTGTAATAAATACATAACTTCCAACAGTTATCAGCTTCGCTCATATTAATAAAGAATGATGCTGTCAATCAATTATTTTATGCTTAGGGATAAATAGATTTTTTAGATAAGAGGAATTCTTTGTCCTTTTGTACATCCCTACTATACTAAAAGATACCAAATAAACACACATTCAAATTAATAAATTTTATTTATTCAGTTTACCCTTCCGGCTTTTCTAGAGTATGGGGCTGACTTAATGTCAAGTGATATTTTCTATCAGTCAACCTATGGGTATACAGGGGAGGAGTAACAGTTACTCTTCATACAAATAAGGAGAAGGCCTTAGCGGCATGACAATTTTCTTTTTTTATATAAATTATATGCGACATAATATAAACACAAATTAATATTGCCTAAAAAAATACTCTCATATCATTTTCTATAATACGTAACTACTTATTTAATATGCAAATAAATACAATTACAAAAAATACCTAATAATATGAGGTTATGAAGATATTTCTGGTGAAGCAAATTCGTTCGTTTTTTAATTGTCACAGCGATATCCTAACTAATATTTGTAAGGGTATCATACGAAAAGGTATAAATGCTTTGGGTCTGGCAGTTGATCAGCATTGATTCAATTTAGAAAGAAAGAACACTTTAAAGCGAAAAGTGCCTTCCATCATAGTGTTGCAAGTACTCATGAGTATGGTCACTTGAACTCGATTTGAGAAGGGATAAGATTACCAATTTTTTATCTAAACTATGGAGTTGTTCTGTACTTCTTTTTCATATATAGCATCAAGTATTCCAAATACGATTAGGGTCATTTTTTTGTTTAAAAAGGGATAGGGGATTTAACTGTGTATGCATAAACATATTTATAACGGTGATCCAAATATTTTTTTCGCTACTACCTACATAGTTAATAGAGGACAGTAAATCGATTTTGCATTTAGTATTACTTAGCATACTGTGAAACCACAAAAATTGCCACAGTTCTCAGTTCGTACTTGTATAATCGCGTGAATGAACAATATTTCTAATGAGTCCACTTTTAGTCTGTAGTTTTCATTTAGTTTTATTGTTTGTGTGAAGGGAAGCGTTCACGTAAATGGTATTACCTACGTCCACACTTTTTATTGTATAAGGTCTGTTTATTACTCGAACCTTTTAATATCTGTCGTACGTCTGTAAAGTATTTCGACCTTTGCGTGACTTTTAGTTCATAAAAATAGGCAAACTCAAAACAGCTGAACCTTTTACTCAGTTTTTATTTCTATCTTCGATGAGTGTTTGGTAGACATTTAATTATTTGACTTCGAATTCTGGATGAGAATCAAGATCGATTGATTTAGTGCGAACATTAGTTAGCAGTAAACTTCCTAACATTAATTTTGTCCCAATTGACATTTTCACAGTAAGATATATATCTCTAGTGTTTAGAAATGCAAATTATACAAACAAACCCCACCAAACTAAGCGTTCTTAATTGTACGATAGCATAAGTTTGTAAAGAAAAATTGTATTTTTATAGGTAATTGTAAGACGTGATTGTAAGATGTAAGATGTGATTGTAAGACTTGCTAAATGACAAATTTTTCTGTGCTTCGAAAATTGTCTTTCGTTTGCTAAAATCAGGCGCTGTTATCACCGTACATGTGTTAATGTAAGCCTGATCTATGAAAACCTAGGAAATCTGAAAGAAAACAACTATTTGAATGAAGATGCTTATCTTTTTTTTTGTTCTAGAATGGTACGCTATTCGAAGTGGCACCTGGCGGACTACAGCTGCACCAGTTCAATGAGTACTGCGTAGAAATGATTATCAAAGACCCAGCACAGCCGGCGATGCTATTAGCCGGTGTGTGCTACCCTGAAGATCCACCGAATAATGATGACAGCTTCATCCTGTACACTGCATATGCGATTGGTAAATATTATCTATGACTAGCTGACCAGTGCATCTTCATCTGCGTATCTCAAAATATTTTTTTTTTTTTTTTTATTGGTCCTAGCGTGATGTTATAAATTTAGCCTAAAGCCTTCCTAGATCAATCCAAGGGCAATCTAATACTAAAAGAACTGTTCAATTTGTTCAACCAAACAAACAAACTCTTCTGCTTTTAATATTACTCGTAGTATAGACTTAACTAAGAATTAACTCACAATCAAACTAGCAGGTATAGTAAATTGTATAATAATATTGTTATTTAATAATAAAGTTACGTATTTTATTACGAAAATACAATCTTGGTTAACCGCATCAAACACAACAGTTAAAATAATTTAGCTATTAACTGAATTCGATTTATTGCCTGTACCGATACACTCGTAGCTTGAAATTTCAGTGGTATTCTTTTGAGTTTTGCACACATACTTTGAAATGTTCATTTCATAATTTTTTTTATGTCTTAAATGGATCTTTAGCCATTGTTGGTTACATATGTGAGACTTGTATCACATTTTATAACAAGATAACTTTGGGTGATATACTCGCGTCGTTATTCGTTCCATATGTATCGTTTAACAATCTGGGATCATTGTAACTAAATATTTATCTTTGCTTACTCACAACATTGCTCTGCTTTTAGTCATCAAGAAGTGTATTATACTTCCATTTTCATTTCTTTTAAAAGATAAAGTTATATTGTGTGTGAGGTCGATTTAAAAAGCCTTAGCCGCAGTCGTCAATAGATGTGATGTCGACTCGGTTTTACGACACCACATATTTTCAAAATATGTGTACAATCACATTAAATATTTGTAAAAAATCATGTAAATACTGCAAAGTAGATAGCAATTATTTGTAATCAACGAAGTATTACTTCGAAAATAATTATCTGATGATAAATACAATTTAATCGCTGAAATTGGCGACAAAAATTTCTCGTTTTCAAAATCGTTGAGTAACCGCTCATAATTTTGTGCCGTGCATTGTAGACCGACACACATTCGTTTCGTGAGTGAAATTCGTGTTTTATTCATGATCTTAATTTGTTTCTTAGTACAATACGAACATTCTGGTCTAAAGGCTGTCTTGCATGCGTAGGTAGGATATAAAGAAATAACGTATCAAATGCAAACTTTGAACGTGAACAGTCTCAGAGAGTCCACACATTCGACATAATCAGCCAACTCTTCTTTATTATCATAATTATTTTTGCGAGATTTGAAACGCTGTAGAAGTAATCAAGTCAAAGTAATATGTTTTCACATTAGTTAACTACCATGTTGTTTATCATCGAAGTCGTAAAGAGTTTGTTTAGCTTAACCTCGATGGCTAATGGCCCATTTCTCCTAAATAATTGCGTGAACATCTAAATAACACGAAGTTTGATAACAAAACACAACAAGCCAATCCCAGTTTTTACGAGCCATTGCTAACAGGCTGGGCTTTTAAATGCTTATCGTTCATAATTATCCGTAAGCACTTGTGAACGTGTCGTTAATCTCTAAATTGGGACATAAATTTAGCTAATGGTACTGTCCAATACTGATCCGCGTGAGTTTACGTCTGACGCTTACTCATGTCATGCCTTTGTAAAATTAATGGCCAGAAAAAATCTTGACTCCAGTATAACAAATTGTGCAATTAAGTAAGTCATTAAGAAACTGTGTAAGTGATAAAAGGACTATGTTATTAGGTAGTACAAAGGTTTAATATATGTAATCCTAATGCTGTCACATGAAAAATATTTTTTGCTAGCACTCATTCAAATTCCAAAAGCCTTATTTGAACTTAAGTTCACGACTAAGCCAAACATGAGTATCTACTTAATTTAGCCGCTTGCATAAGCTGCACAGACACAATAGCAATTTGTTAGACTTACATAGAGTCCATTTTCTAAAACTGTTTTAATACTGAAACATAATATGATATTTTACAACGATATAAAACATATATTGATCGTAAAGATGTTACATCTATATAACATCAAGTTGTCTGTAAAATGGGTTAGGAATTAATGGTCAATAAAATTAATAATCATGACGGATGACCGATGTTTGCCAATAATTATATTTATCCTATTTAGTTGTTTATAAGCCATTAAACTAATTATATCAAGATAATCTCTATTCATCATATACCAAACATTAATATTTTTGAAAATATAAGCGTTTGAAATGCTACGGCTTCACACCTAAACAACTGAACCAATATTAATATTAAACTAGTTGTGCCTTGCCACGCTTCACTGTGGCACATTGTCTTTGCTTTGATGAGAAATGAGGAACAAACTGAAAAATATATAAAAACAATCTTTAAAGCGGGTTGTATATCGTGTCAAAATTTGAGCTCAATCGGTGAGCTACTTTGTGAGTTCTTGAAGCGAACACAAACCAACTTAACATTAATATGTATAAAGAAATATTAAATTACGCATACAGATTGCCAGGGAGTAAAAGGACAGAGGGTGCCGAAATATCCACAGAAAAGAACAGTTTCTGAGGGATAAATTAATATGAGTGACTCTGTGGGTACCATTTACCAATCTACAAAACTTACTAGCTCTATTATAGGACCGACTGGGTGTTTAAAAACAACAATATAGTACTCTTAACACTCATAATACCTCGATGACAGTTTCAGGACAGACACACTTTTATTTTACTCAAAGACTCTACCTCTTCACTCCAGAGACTTTACAATATACCAACCTCTGATATTACAAGCGTTTGCATGTTTAAGTTTCGGTTTTATATCAGACAGACTTCGCGGTGGTTTGCTATAATTAGCAAGGTTATCAGGGATGACAATCGCTATGAACCTACCTTTTCATGATGTCTAAGATTCTGGAAAATTTCACTCGTCTCTTATTTTTTCCACCCGTGATCACCAATTTCGTCACGACTGGCACATCTAATTACGGGACCCATGATGACCCATATATGATAAATTTTTGATTTGTAAGACTAGCTTTACTATATTGCGCTATTATTCCAGGTCTTCTGCTGTCCGTGCCGTTCCTGCTGGCAACGTTCTTGGTCTACGCGTGCATCCCCGAGTTGAGAAACTTGCACGGCATGTGTCTGATGGCGTACTGCGGGGGTCTTATCGTGGCCTACCCTTTCTTGGCGTATCTGAAGCTACATATTGGCAGGATAGGTGTTGCAATGACTGGCTGTTTGATTTTAGGTGAGTGCTTGTTCATCATCTTGTAGTATTTTTTACGTTTATTCTGGTCTGTTTGACTGATGTTTCTGATGAGAGATCGGTCATAGAGCTAACAATTTTCTTTCTATTTATTTAAATATAATATTTTAGTAACAAAATTTAAAACCGAAATGTACTTGAGTTAGCCTGAAAAAAACTGTATCTAGTGCACCCTTTAATAACGTATTTCAATTCATCATACTACTCGTATGTAACTCATAACCAGACTGCTAAAAAACATACTTTCTAAATGTTATAGATAAATTAAACCCAGAGACAGGATGAATGATCGATCTCATCACACATTTGTTTGTCCTGGTTTTGGATTGAACCCACGACCCCTGGCTTAGCAAGCTCGCTAACCACTAGACCAAACGGCCATTCAAATCGAAGAGATAAGATGAAAAGAGACAAACCTTATCATTAAATCAACATTCTTAGTAAAAATACCAATTCAATCATTTCAGTTCTATTCGAATCGTTAATATCATCAATCCATTTTTTTAAGTTAAATATCATCGTCATCATCATTAACAGCCTTTAATAGTCCACTGCTGGACATAGGCCTCACCTTAGAAAGGAGGGTTTGGCCTACTATATCAAGCTGGCCAGACGGGTTGGTACAGAGTTTGTTAAGTTCAATACGTCAGTCTCAAAATAAGGCTTCTGTATTTAAAACGGCGAATTTTTCCTAATTCTCAGCCTTACTTCATTAATAGGATGATAGGATCTCAAAATTGAATGGGAGGTATTTATGGTGCTTGTGTGTAAATATTGTGCTTGTGTGACTGCACGGATGACGTAATGGTTTAAGTCGTCACTTCGCCGTTTCTACTGTGCTGAGTGTTATGGGTTCGTTACCCACATGGGACAATACAATTATATGCAAATGCAATAGTTCAGGTTTTTTGCTCCAATTTGATGAGAGCAAATTCATTTTCTGGGCACCGTTTCAGACTTTGTGCCGACACTGACGTATTCCTTAAATAAAAACCAAATAACAATTTTGTTCTACCCCTAAAATAAATGAACTTAAAAACCTACATGCAAACATAAAACGTATAAAAAATTGAAGGATTGAAAAATCATATAAGGTAGGCAGGTACGCAAAGGTTCGTGAGGAACTGTCTGACGTAATTTTTTCTTAAAGACAATTCCCGTATTAGGACTTTGTCCTGAGTCGCGGGGGACTTTACAAACATGAATGAAACCGACACGAAGAACACCCAGACTCAGAACAACAACTTATTGATCACACAAAGTGTAGTCCCATGCGGGGATCGGACCCACAACACTCAGTGTAGTAAGTACAGTAGTAGTAAGCGGCGTGGCGACCGCTTAAATCACTATCCGTGCAGTCGAATTAAAGGATCGTGCCAGTAAATATTATTTTCTCGTAAAAGTTAAATAATAATATTGCACTACAGGCCACGTCTATGAGTTCAATTTAAAAATACTTACGTACTTCGCCTTAAACTCTGATTTAGATTTGAAAAGGCACTCATTAAAGGTATAGTTAAATTGGTGGATTAATAACTTTTTTAATTACATGTTATTATTTTTGATAGGCTAACACTTATCACATGATATATTTTAAAGGGACACGAAAGGGAACATAGCAAAATAATATCCAGTCTGAAGGACGTTAGTAGAAAGGTTGTTAAACGTTTTGCGTGTCTTGGAATAATACATGACAGCACATCAGTCATTCCATATCAGCAGTTGATTAAGTGCAATGAGGCAATTACACGAATTGAAAGCCACATATGTTTCTAATTTACATACCCATTTTACATTACTGAACTATAAGCCTTTTACATTCTGTATTTGACTGGGATTCCCCGTAAACTAAAATTTATATCAAGATAAATATATACTTTCAGTAGCTTGTACTGAAATATTTTTGGGGAAATACCTTTTATCCTACATTCTTACAACACATCCTTGTGTTAGCAAAAATAGTAATTTTACCAAAAAAATAAGTGCGTGAATAAAAAATAAGCACGTAATACGTACGTAATGATAAATGTTCGCATGCAATTTTTTTTTGTAGCAATTTTCACATAATTCTCAAATTACACCACACCACGCCGTTTTATTACGGTAATCTTATTTCGAAATTGATACATTGAACTTAAAAAATTAACGACAGAACTGATATTCCGTAAGAGAGCTGAATTAACGAAACTGTGGGCATTTAATACCAAGGATATTAAAGTCCAGATTTTTAAGTTTTTTTTCCGTATCTTAACACACTTTTTTGTAACATCACTGAGTTCTAAGTACAGGCGTACAAAACTCAGTGATATTTCCACTATGTGTACGAGTATGCTACGGTACTACACAAAAATGTACTGACCTGCCCAGGCACGGTTTCATAGAACCATTATTACCAGTATTCACATAGGTATTTGCAATGCTATTATTAATAACTACTAGATATAAATAAAAACTTTAAAAACTGACAATCATGTGCTTTCGAAACTAAACGTGTTGATCGATTTATTACTTATAGCTATTAACATAATATATCAATAATACATCACCTCTCAGTTTCGGATAAACCATGTTATAAAAGAAAACCTCGATATCGGTAGTTTAAAATAGACGAACATATTTAACATTTGAATGTTTTGTTTCCAACCCAGGAGAAATAATTGTGTGATATCATTTGTTCCGTGTCTGGGTGTAATTTATCTACAATATACATTCGAAGTAAGTTTGTTTATCAGCAGATTGGTTACCACACACATAGGCTTTTCACAGGTTTTGCCTAGTTTCGGAACGAAACGACTGTGTGTTACTGTGTTCGATGTGTGAGATTGTTGTTATCATTATGGTCCACATGCAAGTTTTAACAAAATAACCAATAATGTCCGAAAACGAATAAGTATTAACAAAAACAATACACTTTGGGTAAAAATAAAACAGAAAAATTACTCACAAAATGTTTGTTTACAAATTCATTACATCATCAGCGTCACGGTGGTAATAAATTATGTTTACTTCCTGACATCCAGTGCACACATTGTAACATTAAAATTAATGAGGTATTTTACCCAAATTACTTGATCAAAAAACAATTAATCCTGATGGACAAACTTAATCAAAATTAAACAAACAAAGAAAAATAAGTTATAATCAAAACGGGTAGGAACGAATACTATCCGGTTTCCAGGATCCATGAAATTAGGTGTAGGTTTTATAACTCTATATTATGGAAAACGAAACGTGTGAAAAGCACAGTTACTATTATAACTTTTAACGTCTTCACCTTTAATCCTTGAATCTTACAGCTATCTTGAAAAAATTGTGCAGTTTCTTAAATTTATTATATTATTGCCTAGAACAAGGCAACTACAAATACAAAACAGGATAGGTACAAAAATATACTGGCTCCTATGCTATGACGACTATTTCTAAAAATATTTCTAAGTATGGTTAAGACAAATCTCAAAATAAAAGTGTCGAGACTGAAAATTATAGTATTTAATAACATAAAAGGAAGATAAATAATATCAAAATATGAAAATGTTGATCCCCCTCCTACCAGGGGGGACGAGATATCAAGGTGCGACAGGATATTTAAATATTCTGAAGTTATAACCTAACAATAGTGTAAGAACGTTGCGAACATATAAATATGTATGGTATTTAATAATTAAGGATTCTATCCGTCCTAAAACTACCCCAGAGATTTTTTAGAAGCAAGAATTTCTCATATTTTTATTCATAATTTACCCAAATAAACTGGGCTTCAAATTAGGAAAGTTTTTATTTAATGTTTCAGAAGGATGAGAATTCTGTTTAATTATTATGTCAAGGGTAGAGCTTAATATCTTTGAAAGTTTCGCAACAGGTGTTGAAATGTCTCAGTTTAATTGATCCCATACCTTTAATCTTAATAATTTGAAATGCCTATGAAATATGCCAATACCTTTCAGTCATTTCTATTTTATTCGAGTAGTTTGTAGTAGGGTTAGATCTTTATGCATAACTTCGAAGAAAGCCTTATAAATTTTAAAAGATAATATACATGTAATTCATTGACTTACTACTATAAAGTTCTATTTTCATTTTTGGAAAAACCAGTTTTAAAATGTACAACACTGGACTAGTTGTCCCTGTGGTGATGGAAGCATACGGAATGACACCACCCCTATTCATCCCGTGGGTGTCGTAAGAGCCGATACTGGATACTTCAGCTAATTTAAGGTCCAATACATCACCGACTAAAGTGTGGGCATTACCTACTATTAGATAAATTACCCAGAACTAAGTAACTAATTAGTTTATTACGGGTAAACATTGTTTACATGTAATGTAGATCACAGGTGCAAACACGCCCTTTTTGCTAATAAATTATCTTAAAAGGAAACCGAAAACACGAATAAACAGTAAAGTGGGTCATATGATGACCAACGAAAAACAGTGTTCAATTTAGAGAATTCAGAAAACCATTTCTACACTTTTTTCGTGAGTGAAATTCCCTTGGGCATCATGGGCAGTAGGGTGGTTATGTCGGATTCGAATCGATTAAAACCGCTCGCTGTCTCGGGTACCAGTAGCCCGGGAACCAGGTGTACCCTAAAAAGGAAATTCCTGGTACCCCGACAAAGCCTAGGCCATCTACGGCTTATAGATGACCCCCTCGTGTAAGAGAACCAAGCGGCCACGGTGTCCCCACTCTTATAAAGGGTGGTCGCGCCGCCACCCTGGCCAACTTCTGTTAGGTTGACAGATGGCCTCACAATTAAGGAGGTTCAGGCGTCTGAGCCGCCTGCGGTACCGGGTTCCAAACCTCTCTTTGTCCCGCTCCGCCATCTTGTTCGCAGAAAGAGGCGAAACCATTTCTACACTGTCTATAAATTATGTTTGTTAAAAACATTGGCTTTCAAAAATAACTATGTCAAGAATTCATATGTATTGTACGGTAGGATATCACCAAATTTATGTTCTAAGTTTAAGGTAAGCAGTTCCTGACCGTATGAGATTCTTTATCTTTATAAAGGACCGTGACCTTCAAAATTACTGGCCAACAGAAATTCTTGGTGATTAGGATCGCTAGACACAAAGGGTAGGTGGGAGGTTAAAGTTTAGTATGCATTTGACTGACTGAAACCATTTCAGTTCCGTAAAAAAATATTTTAGGCGAGATTGTGAAGGTTATGTCTAAACCTTGGCCGTCTGTTGTCACGAAACCCACAACCGTAATTAAATATACCAAAGCTTTAATTCTACTTTAATTTTGTTATGCAAAAATGTGGTCATTTGAATGTAATTATTTAAATGACCAATGATAAAATGTGTTACTTTTAATATGGCTTTTAATATAATTAAATGTTTCACAGAGTTTATTACTTTTATGGCAAGAGTAGAGACTTTTTATAGTAGTTAGTTATTATAAAACGCATTGTTTTTTACGATGCAATGATGTTTTATACTATAGATTTTACAGCATGTAAGTAAATAACACATTAACATTCATTCATCAGAAGAATAGTATTGTAACTAGTACCTTTACGGTACCGTAAAGGTACTAGTTAAAATACTAGTACCTTTACGGTACCGTAAAGGTACTAGTTAAAATACTATTCTTCTGATTTAGTAACTTTCATTATCATCATCATCTTGTTGTTGGATTTTGTCCGCCGATTCCGAGGCTGGGTGTGCCTCCGAAGAGGGATCCGGTGAGCAGCCTACCGCCGGCGGTTGGTGACTAAGGAAAAGGGAAAACACATTTGATTTTATCAATTTTTAATCCGCTAGGTTTTACCGGATTGATACCAGGGCCTCACAGAATACCGATGTTTAACAGTTCTTTCATTGCTTTTCACCTAATAAGTGAGGTTACCGGAACCCAAACCCTCCCGCTCCCCTTATTGTGGGCTTTCGACAGCAAAAGCGTCCAGCGTTGGGATTGGTGAAGATTTCAGTGGGGGCCAGTCGCAGCGCCGAAAGCGGTCACCGTGACCGTGTGAAAAAAATTACACTAGGTCCTCTGGTGACCGTTTGCTCGCTTGCTATGCTCTCGTCACTATGCTGTAAAAAAAGACTGAAAACCTGATGTGACTCCACATCGGGTATGACGTAAGACCTTATTTTAGTCAATTTTTAGTTTCAAAAAATCATAATTGACCTAAATACTTACCTACATAGTTATTCAATACTATAAAAAAAAAAATAACCTCCTACCCCTATAAAATTAATCAACTTCTGTGTCTACCTAATAAGATTGTCGCTGCTAATAAGAAAAATGTTCATGCAGTAATTTTTTTTGGAAAAACGACTTGATCAATGAAATTTTTCTATTAGCAAACAAACTAATACACAAACTGTTAAAAATATTCTCTTTTTTATTTATGTCAAGCTTAAAAGATAACTTTTCTAAGATGCTATAAAACCAATAAGGTTTATAGTAAAATAATTACCGTTCATTTCCAATTTGTTTTTGTTGTCATATATTTTAATCACTCTTTTAATTTTAAGATAACTCAACTATATTTCGCCAACATATAACCATCATAACATTTTGTCAAGTTTTTACATGCGCCTCTCCTTAGAGACATGCTGTGTAAATGCGTTACCTTTTTTCATTTAATTTGAACAAGTAAATCTTAATTCAACCGTTCTTGTCGCTTATAATTTACAGTATCTCCACACATACCTATTGTACGTTAGCACACGTACACGTTCAGTAAATATTTCTATTTCGTGGAAACCTCTGAACGTATTTACAAAATAGTACTAACTTACAAAAGTCAACAGAGGATGATCGTACGTGACCAAACAAATGTTTTAATTTCGGAGTTTCTATGGAACAAAGAAATTCTTTGTGTAAGAGAGTTGGGGGCAAAAGAAAATAAACACTCGTTTGCAATAAAATGTGCCTGATGAAAGCCACTATACTAAGTGAATGTTTATCATGAGTTACAACACACATTGGTGCTGCTGTATTTTATATTTAAATAATCTTCTGAGTAAAATTTTGCATCGAAATAACTTCCTACACACAGAACATTTCTGATATTACATTATAAACAATGAAAGAGAGATTTACTTCGTGGCGCAATGAAATATAAATATCAGGATACATATTTATATTTTCTGTGAAGTATAATATCAAACTAAACTAACCATAATCCTTATAATTTTTGATAAAAAAAAAATGCGCGGAATTCTAGTGTTTTTTTCAATACCTGATCACTGAAACTCGAGTGGAAATCAGTTCAGTACCAAAACAACCACATGAACAAAGTTAACAACTGTTCTCCTGGTAAAAGTATTCATTATAATAGATACTTACTAAAATTTTATTATGTGTGTTGATATGTATATGTCAATTAAATATATCTATCTCTATGCATTAAATGATACCTTTAACACATCATAAACAATTGTTACAAAATTATAGAGAGACCATGTCAAAAGTTGCATAAATATATATAATATTTACACATTGTAATTTGGTCCAATAAGTTCTATCTATTTAAAAAAAATTGATTACTTTTTAATATACGTTTCCATGTTCGATAGCTCAAATAGTTCTTCTAATTCTATAGAAACGGAATATAGTATCTATAGTATAGCCAAGAGAGTCTTAAAGGGTTTATATCTTATCATAAAATTCCCTTTACGCAAAACATGCTTAAATATTAACAGCCGAGCTAAATTATTGCCTCCTTAAGTCTTAGTACGCGTTGACGACAGTGACATAATAATATCGAAAATAAACCTATGAGGTCACAAGGAGCACGTAGATAAAGGCCTCCTACGACTTCATTAACCACTGTGGAGGTTAATAGACTATTACGTGACCGTGGCAATTGATCACTCTCATTAAATACATTCGACTTATTTATGAGGTGATGTGTTAATGAATAAAACTACTCAATTACTATATTACGGAGCGTAAATTTTAGTATTAGTGTGAACTAAATTAAGTACGATAAGTATCTAGAGTAGGGATTCCCAAAGTGGTCGATATCGACCCCTTGGGGTCGCAAGTGGTTTCCCAGGGGTCGACATAAACAAAAACTGATTTTGCGGGTCGACAAGGTCTAAAAACGGTCTCGACTGACGGAAGTCCCCTCCGGGGTCGACCCCTATTGATTTACACAAGTTCTTATTTAAAACTTTCAAGATACTGTATAAGTTGTGTAACGTGTACAAACTTGTTATAAGACTATTTATTTTGTTAAATTTTGATGAAAAAATTATGTCAAGTTTACTCACTTAACAAACGGAAAACTTTTCAATTTATAAGTATTTTGTATCAATAGGAAAAAAACTAGAAACAGAATTTTAAAGTACTTTGGCAGTGGAGGTCTGAGGCATCAGTTCATTTTGGAAAAGGGGTCTCTTGCCCAAAATTGTTTGAGAATCCCTGACCTAGAGAATGTGTAAATAGGGGGCTTTTGCGATGGAAAGCCATGCTTCGGCACAAATGGACCGGCTCGGCCGGAGTGATGCCACGACCTCACAGTAAACCGGTGTTAAGCAATTCTTTTGTTGCTTTTCAGTGAGTGAGTGAGGGAATCGTAGCTCAGAAGTTGCTCTGTTTTATTAACCGAGTTCAAAAAGGAGAAGGTTATTAATTCGGTTTTTTAATGCATGTTCGAGCATAACTCCGTCATTTATAGACGGATTTGTAAAATTCTTTTTTTGTTAAAAAGGGGTTTATCCCTAAATGGTCCCATTTATATTACATATAGATCTGATGATGAGTTTCGGAGACAGAGAACGGAACTCTGCCAAAAATGACAGCAAATGAACCGCGATTGCTGCTAGGTTTTTAGTGCTCTTTGTTAAAATTGTTTGAAGTCGGTTCAACTTTTTTTAAAAGGATATTTTTACTAACACCCAGGCGCTGTCCTGCTTGAATATAGATTTTTTTTCGAACAAAGAAATTGACGCTTAAAACTGTAAACGCTTTCATACTGTATGTGTATGTGCGTATGTAATGCGCAACTATGTGTATGAAGTATATGATTTTCGTGCATATACGTGTAATTCAAAGTACAGTTAGAGACATTATACTCGTATGTACACACAAACACGCTTAACGAAGAGATCATAAAAGATCTTCATAAAAGTATATAAAATTTATAATGTACTAACTTTTACCCATAATTCGCTCCTTTATGTAGATTTTCTTAATAATTTATTTTGGAACAGTGACCCATGGGAACTGTCTTTTTCTAGATGAAACCTACATATGACGTACTACATACTACGTATCCTTGACAGTGTGTAGTGAATCTTAGATAAATAATCAAAATTTTACATTTTCATTTGTAATAAAATTTACGGTTATATGTAGTACTAGCTGACCCGCGCAACTTCGGCTGCGTCTCTCAAAAGGCATGAATTTGCCCCGTTTTTGATAGACATATTGATAAATTTTCAAAATTTTTCATTGATGCGCGGATCCTATTGGTCGTAGCTACCGCCGCCGCACCGTCTATAGCCTTCTTCTATAAATTGGCTAGACAAAACTAAAATATTTTTCAATTCGGACCAGTAGTTTTCAAAAAGGCTTTTAGCTTTCAGCTTTATAATGTTAGTATAGATTTGAGCCAGCCCCAAATAAAATTGAAACTAGGAGAAAATGATTTTCGATTTATTAGATGAAAAATTATATAAAATTTCATAATTATCATTTCACGTGGGTAGTAATATTTTGAAGTTCAGTATTAAAAAAACTTTATACGTCACTTTAGGATTGAAAAAGGTTAAAATCAGATCAAATGAATGGTTTACCAACAACATTGGACTTTTGTAGTTGACCCACTTTATGAATCAAAATATCCCGAAATGATTTATACATTTTTTGAATATCGGAGTAATGTGTTTCATTCGTCAATTCTCTTTTTATCTTTACTGTGTTAATCTCTGATCGTTTCCTCTGCGCATAACAGTAAAGCGTTTGTGATTTTCACGTTTGTTTATTTTTCAGCGTTCATCGTTTACTACGCATTCCAAACGAGTTTCTTCTGGCTCAACGTCATGTGCTTTGATATATGGAGGACGTTCAGGTAACTATAATATGTACATATTTTCGATAATGACACTCACCAGAACATAAGATATAAATACATTTATTAAAGTATTCTATTTATTCTTCACGCACTTAAGCAAAACCATTGAAGCGGGGCTCCCAATTTAGTAATGTTAGCGGTCTCTATTGGGTGCCGATTTAAATGTTAAGAGCTTTCGGAGTAACTGCCGTGAGGAAATTTAAATCCATTGAAAATAAACATAGGCATAGAATAATTTACAACTCATATTTATAGTTTAGGACTATTATAATACGTGTCCATACTTTTTAAGGTATCAATAAACACTAATGCAAGTTTATACTGATAAGGGTAATATTTTATTCACATAACCAAATTTCTAGAGCATTTTGTCGCTTAATCTGAGTTAATTCCTAAAGAATTATCTAAACTTTATATTAATTGTTGTTATTGGCATTTTTAACATTTCACTTTAAGTCTCTTGACTTTTAAATTTTAAATATAGTCATACAATTAAGTTTTTGGTGCTGGCACTGATTTAGTTTGATTTTAGTTTGAGTGATTTTAGTTTTTTAAGCGACAAATTTTTAGTAATTGTTGTTTTTTTTTTTGTTGACGGGGTGGAAAATCGCTTCGGATCTCCTGCTCCTCGGGGCTAGGAGCTAGGAGTATGTGGTGATTCCACTAAAAACCACCCCGACGGCCGGCCTCAGGTGCCCTACTCTGGGAGGACCCGGACCATGTTATTTCAGGTCCTCCCCGAATTGACACCATGCCTAGTCAGGCCCTATCCCAGGGGAAAATCACTTCCCCCCTCAATCGCGACGTGGCGGCCCAATTTCGTCTTAATACAATCAGGCCGCCATCCTCTCCCCTACCGCAACATTCAATCAGCGACCAGAGGTCCCCACTCTCTGGCGGCCCGCGGCCCCGTCGGCGGCTGGTATGGTCGCCGACGTCCTCTACGCTCAGGATCGGCCCTCTCCCGATCCCGTTCAGCGGTATCTTTCTGGAGCATTACAGCTTCACAGAAAGAGACCACTGCGCCCCATCCCTCCTCACCCGCCAGCATGGCAGCAATGATTGCTGGCGGGGACAGGTCTCTTCCGATTTGGCCGACCAGGACTTCGCGTTCAGACGCCCACGCGGGGCAGTCTTCCAGCGTGTGCTGGGCGGAGTCCCAGTCGGCTGCGCAGTGCTGGCATTGTGCCGTCTCCTCGCGTCCGATACGATTCAGGTACTCACCGAAGCAACCATGCCCAGTGAGTACCTGCGTCAGTCGATAGGTGACGCGACCTCCCTCCCTACCTACCCAGGCTTCGAGGTTAGGCAGAACAGACAGCGCGTTGGCGTGCATTCTGTGGCTGTTCCAGCCGCACGCGCCACTGCTAATTGTCGGAACCTAGGAATATTTTCATAGTTCATATTTTGACTATTAACACATTACGACGCCTGTCAGACTTATCAACAATATATTATCTTAAAATTGAACTTATGCCATTCAGTAAGTATAAAGATTTAGATTAGACTACGTCGGGTTTCAATAAATGTAATAAATATCAAAACTAAGAGAGGATAAGAAAATAAAATGTTAATTTAAACTAAGACTAAAAGAAATGTTTGGTTTTTATGGTAATAGATTAAAACGTGTACATAAATAGGGAAGCAGGTTATACATACTGATGTATTATTTATTTCTTGAATATATTTTGTTTTTTTTTTGTTAGTACACCGTTCTAATAGTAATTTAAAAAGAAGCATTTAAGTACTAAGTTTATTATAAATTTAGTGGAACGCCTACAAACTGTTTGAACAGTTTGGCGAATAGAGACATTGAAAAAAAATGTAACTTAAATGTGAATAAAGTTTATTAAAAAAAAAAAACATATTAGATATTTTCATGTTCGTATCGTATTTTTTGCGTTAAAAACATATCTTTAGTGCTTGAAAAATTCATAGAGACGCCATGGATGTGTGTTCGGATTTTAGTATATTGGAACGGTGACGTTAAATATTAACGGTAACGTTAACCTTTTAATGCGACATGAAAGATACCAATATTTTAGTAATTTTCGGGGACTAATTTGTGAGATAAACAGGCAACAGTCTTAGAGAATCGATATCTGAGATGGGGTTTAGATAGAGATTAAAATAGTAGTTTACTTACATCAAAGGTTTATACGGTACCCTCAGAGTGCGAGTCACACTCGCATTTGTCCTTTTTATTGAGTGATGTCATGAGGTTATGGAAAGTATGGTGCTTGGGGAACGACTAGGTACTTAATAAATAATACATATAATTTTTACTATGACCTAATACAACTGATTTTCAAAGTAAATTTCAATTAAAGTATCATCTTGATCATCAACAGCCAGGCGACTGCTGGTCTTGGTCAATTTCTAAATTTTTATATATTGATTTGCCATTGTGAAAAAAATATCAGTATTTCTTTGCAATATTGTTAGAAAATACTACTATCTAATGATTCTAATTCGGCTTATTTTCTTATTTTATGAAAGACACTTCCCGCACTAGAAACACCCAAACTTAGAACAACAATTTGTGGATTACACATAGTGTTTTTTCTCCCATGTAAGGATTGAACCTACAGTCATCACTATAATTAAAGTTAAAAATCATATTAGACAGAAAAAGGCGAAATATTATAAATAGTTAACTATACCTGTCGTATCGTGCTGGAAGAGCTGATGATAACATAATATGACGATGAACATACTTGAAAAGTTTGTATCTGTACATCAACAGATTTTTCTAAAACTCATAAGTTTTCGAAAAGACTTTCTTACGTAATTTATTTTTGTTCGAATTAGAGTTCCTTTTATTATTTTTGGTATTGGTATTGGTTGTGGGCTCGGGTTTCCGCATTTAGACTCAAGATGTTCCTTTATGCGTCGAGGACAGGTTGGCTAGGTGAGCCAACCAAGCTCGTTCCAGAAGCGCAGATTTTGTATCAGGAATGATACTTGCCCATTGTGTGGCCACTCCCTCGCATTCCAGGATTCGGATTTCTAGTCTGGTAAGACTGATCCATCTGCAGGTGAGTCGTGGTGTGACTTCAGTCAGCACCAGTTTAGACTGTCTTCAGCCGGTTGAGTTTTTAAATCTCCGGTAGTGTACTTCACGAGTCCGTTGCCTGGTCCAGAATCGCAGTTGGTTGAAAGGTAGTGGCAGCAATATGGTTGGTCCGGTAGCCAGGGTTGCCGAGCCCCTCCTTGCCAACTCGTCTGCTGCGTCGTTCCCGAGTGAATTACTATGCCTTTTAATCCATTGGAGTAGTGAGCGCACATTGCCACATTTAGTGTGGCAAGCTGCTTCAATGCTTAATGCCATTAGAAGACAATACCAGAGTTCATTGTGTTGCCCTCTAGCGCCTTTAGGACGTCCATGCTTCCTAACAGTATTCGAATGTTATAGCCCTTAATGCCCCTTTACATGGCCATTGTGCCGGCGTAAGTTGTTGCCACCTATTCGCATTTGAATATATAACTGTGTTGGCCTAACGCTAGTGATGTATTCATATTTAGGTCTTGCGAGAAAACTCCGGTTCCTGACCTAGTCTTGGAACCGTCCGTGTAAATTCGGACTTCGTTAATGCCGGATTGATCTCGGTCATTTTCTTGTATGTGAATCTGGTATCTTTTTGTGAAGAGATGGTGTTTTGGGATCCTATCGCATGGGGCTGCTATTAGTGGTTCGTATAATTGATCCCATAGTTAATTGATTAAGCTAGTGATCCCTCACCTTTATGCCACAGACCCTGGTGTCTGAATCTAATGCAGTGGAGGCAGAATGGTGAAATCCAGTGGAGGCAGACCAAGAGCCACCTCCAGTGCGGCAGTTGGCGTTGTGCGCATACACCCAGTGATTGCAGAGCATGGGAGTCGCTGTAATTGCTGCAATTTGTTTATGACGGTGCTTAGCTCTGTTCTCTGCCACCAGGCAATAGCACCGTAGTGATTATTGGTCTTATGAGTGTTCTGTAGAGCCATAGTGTAATCTTTGGTGATAGTCCACAGCTTTCGCGGAGTAGCCGTTTGCATTGGCGGTTTTGTTTTTTTTTTCTCTGCAAAATAATTGTTCACGAAGGTAATTGTCTCTTCTTTGACGAAAATCTCTGTCATCCGAGCGCAATTTTGGGGCTAGATCTAGTGAGTAAGGCGGATGACCAAGCAGTTCAAACCGTAATTCGTGGATTTTCGCCATGGCAACCACTGAGGTGTGAGACGGTGCGTTGTCTTGGTAAAACAGGATTTTCCTTTTCTGCAAATGTGGCCATTTTCGAAGGCCCTTTTTAAAGGCTTTTGTTGTTTTTGTGGCCGTTTTTCCGCAAGTTCTGCCTTCAGTTTGTCAAGTAATGATGCATAATATGCTCCTGTAATGGTCTCGCTCCTGTAATAGTCTTTCTAGTTCCGATCCCCACCACTGGTGTTTGTTCTGTGGTCCAGTTCTGGGTGTAGAAAGTAGCCATGTTTGTTCAAAGCAATCGGTCAGTGTTTGTGTAAGGTTGACAACACGCCTGTCAACAGTCCCCGGAGCATATGAGTAGTATTAAGATGCTCATACTGTTTCCGGTCCATCTTACGGAGATTTCAAAATTTAATTTGATCCGGCGATGGTGCGAACTCTATTCTTCGTTTGAAACATGCCAGTTCGAGATGTGTTGCGATGCGTCCTTTTTTTTATTTACTTATTCATTTAAAATAATCGTCCACATATTCATGCAATAATTCGTTTCAGTAACTAGATCTTTTTGGTACGTAAATAACTAAAAATCTGCCGTTCCTTCCTGTCCCAAATACATTATAATATAACACACAAAATACCTAAATAAGTATACGAGTATATATTTACATAGGTATTTTGTGTGTGTTTAAATATATTCAAACTGTTTCAATACAAACACTGTATGTAGTTCATGGTTTCTGATTTTAGTGATACTGTATAAATATATAACTTGTAAAACAAAAATGTGCCAAATATTGATTTTTTGTGCTTA